AACCCTCCATATTCCTATTCAGCCAAATAAGGCGACTTTGTAGGGATCACTACATATGACAGTAACCTGATTTCATTCTTTCGTAACAGCAAATCAGGGCCCTACTTTGTCTTCTTTGCACAAAGAAGATGTAGTACCTTACGTGTAAAGACCAAATTGACCTTGTGAATACCACAGCTAATTAAATGAAGACTGTAACTCAATGCGAGTTTGCACTAAAAAATGGTCTGCCGCCTCCTGAGATTCATCTAAGAACAAACGAGATAGTCAATACGTAGGTGTTTATGAGCTTGACATGAAGTCATTGCAAGATTTCTGTTAGCAATTACTTCCTTTATTATCCTGTTTGTGGAGAGTGTTAAGCTTTCTTTGTGTTGTACGTGCGTTTTATCTAATATCATAGAGGCACGCTCAGCAGTGATTTGAAAGTTACTTTGGGCTCAGGTAACATATAACAACTAACTTGTTGATCTTAGGAAAGATTCTGGAAGAATGCATACATATTACAATTTGGTACATAAATATTTGAGATTAGCAATATTTCCTATTGATGAAAATTGTGAATATTTATCCTACCAAATATTTGTCATAAGTAGCTACAGTTTTGCTCCCTAAGATGTTTGCTTATAAGCACTAAATGAAAATGCATTACATACATATGCATTATATATTATATATGTATTATATATATACCATATATGTGTATATATGTGCATCTACCTATTCCAGTTAATTTATAGAATTGATTATCACTTGACTTAAAGAGCATTGACCTTTGCCACGTTCAGGTTGATTTTGACACCAGCCACAAACAATATCCTTTCAGTAATATCAAAGAATGATGACACAAAGGAAAGTTAGTATTGAGTTTCCACAGTTTTCTCATCTATAGATTTGCAGGAAATGTGCAACTGTAGCCTATTCATGAGGACGCTGCTCAGCAAGTTTCCATACTGTTGCTAACCTGACCAGTGCAGTCCTACTTTGAGTTCCGTATCTGCTCAGAAATTTGATGGTCAGGGTCAGCACTGTGGTGCTGCAGGTCAAGCGCATGCTGGCAATGCCAGCAACCATATTGGAATGCCAGGTTGAGTACTGGCCAGTCTGCTTCCAATCCAACTTTCTGCTGTTGTAGCTGGGAAGGCAGCAGATATGAAATAAGTGCTGGGGACACTGTCACTCACGTGGGAGAGCAGGGTAGAGTTCCTGGCTCTGAGTTCATTCACTCTGACCCAGACCTAGCAGTGAGTAGCATTTGGAGAGTGAATCAGAAGAAGGAAGATCTCTCTCTCTCTCTCTCTCTCTCTCTCTCTCCCCCAACCCCCTTCTCTGTCTCTCCATCTCTCTGCCTTTGGATAAATAAATAAGTATACAAAATAAATTTTATGGCTTCCGATTCAGAGAGCTAAAATCAATGTTAAATCTATTTAAATATTATTTGAATTGTGAAAATTACAAAAAAGAATGTTCAAAATCCTTTGACAAATTTCTGTCCCTTGATTTTTTAATATTTGTATTACCAACTATATTTTGATTAAAATAATCATGGCTGGCGCCATGGCTCACTTGGCTAATCCTCTGCCTGTGGTGCCAGCACCCTGGGTTCTAGTCCTGTTTGGGGTGCCGGATTCTGTCCCGGTTGCTCCTCTTCCAGTCCAGCTCTCTGCTGTGGAGTGCAGTGGAGGATGGCCCAGGTCCTTAGGCCCTGCACCCACATGGGAGACCAGGAGGAAGTACCTGGCTCCTGGCTTTGGATCGGCGCAGCATGCCAGCTGCAGCACATTGGTCATAGTGGCCATTTGAGGGGTGAACCAACGGAAAAGGAAGTCCTTTCTCTCTGTCTCTCTCACTGTCTAACTCTGCCTATCAAAAAAAAATAATAATCAAAATATCATCTGATCTGGGAAATTAGTCAGATAAGGCTATGTAGTTCTTATCAAATAAGCCTTAAAATATTAATGACAAGTCTTTCTCCAAGGGGACTCCCTTTTTTATGATTTTAGAATCTATCTTATAGTTTTATAGTATAAACATGTAACTTCCTGAGTCACTTTCATGGTTTGTACATGCAGGAGAGAAGAGCATAGACTTTACAATTTTCCAGCCAAGTTCACCTGGAACTAATGGCATTAACCTGCCTAATTGTAGGACTAGAGAATTTTGTCTTCATTCTCCAGCAAGGAGAGGAAAAGTGAAAAATGATGAGTTGGAAATTGCTACCACATTCATAAAGAGCACCATTACTAATTATGAACATATCCCAGTAGAATTGCATGTTATCTTTTGCTTGTTGTTATCTAAGCTCATTGGTCTTCTGAGCCTTTAAGCTTACAAATGTAAGTTCTATGGGATTAGGACATCTTGGTTTTCTCATTTGTTTCTTAAGACTACTTAGATCCTGTTAATTCCTAGTTATTGAAAGGTTGACTCAACAATTCAACCTCTAAAATTGTTTTCAGGAGCATCGGAAATAGAGATGTGGAATAATCTGGCATAAAATACACTTGACAGGTGATTTCAGTGATTAGATGAAACAGGAGGTAACATATGTCTACCATCATTAACTACTAACATTTGATGAGCACCTATGGGTACCTGTCATTTTAAGAAGACTTGATCATGGTGGGATAAAGTTAACTCTTGTAAGACTGAGTTTCTAAAGTTGAATACATGAAGACTTATAAAGTCCAGACAGGCATTGCCATAGTGCATGAAATCCTTAACTTATATACGAAATTATATACGAAATTTTGTGAGGGTATTTGTGCATTTTCCCTATATTCCCAAAAGTTTCAGTAGCGTAAAAAAGTTTCAGAAATACTGGCTTAGGGGAATGTTTTTATTCAAGGACATAGGATCGATACATAATGAATAAGATATGAAAGAGGAAATGAAAACGCATTGAAAACATTTTACTATTAGTATTCTAAAACTTTGAATATTGCTTTATTATTTAAAAACATGAATTATTATCATTTAATTTACTTGAGGAAAAGGAGACTGAGACAGCAGACATAAACACTGCTAGAGTAAGAGAGAGCTCCCATCTGCTGGTTCACTCCCTAAATGTCCACAACGTGTCGGGGGTATAGACGTAAACTTCTACCACAATTATTTCAGGAAAATGAAAAATGAAGCCCCTATCAAATATCAAGAATAAAATATTTAGATGAGTGTCGTATTCTAGAAGGACTGATCATTTTTGGAATAACTGCTCAAGAGCCGGAGATGTTTTCATCATTTTGAAAAACATTATTGAGCTTTGTTATTAGAAAACAAGAGCCAATGATAAGATTATCTTTAAGACTGGCCTTGTTTTTATGCTAAGAAATTCCATGGTAGCTATTCACATTAAAGTGATATTCACTGTGGGCTTTTCTCCCTCTATCTCTTTTTTTTCTTAGTATTCAATGTTGAACACAGCCTGAATCCATGCTTCTTTCTCAAGGTAAGAATTAAAATAAGATTTCTTTCCAAATCAAGTACACAAATGAAGCTCCTACTCTTCACTCTAGAAACCTATAATCCACATTTCTTCTTTATTTTAATACTGTTAAATAACTTTGCCCACTTTAATATGTATCTATGGACCACAGTTCGTACATGCAGTATATAAACAGGGAGATTCAAAAATAAAAATATGATGGCCGGCGCCACAGCTCAATAGGCTAATCATTCGCCTGTGGTGCTGGCACCCCGGGTTCTAGTCCCAGTCGGGACACATGGATTCTGTCCCGGTTGCTCTTCTTCCAGTCCAGCTCTCTGCTGTGGCCCAGGAGTGCAGTGGAGGATGGCCCAAGTCCTCGGGCCTTGCACCTGCATGGGAGACCAGGAGAAGCACCTGGCTCCTGGCTTCCTATCACTGCGGTGCGCTGGCTGCAGCATGCCACCGGAGCAGCCACTGAGGGGTGAACCAATGGAAAAGGAAGACCTTTCTCTCTGTCTCTCTCTCTCACTGTCCACTCTGCCTGAAAAAAAATAAAAATAAAAATATGAAATTTTTCAGCTTGTTTCTCATATTGCAGAGTGTAGTTGGCGTGGCTCTATCAGGTGAAAACTGCTGAACATGACGAGCATCACCCTGAAGGAAGCACCCCGGTAACTATACCCACCACACTCCTTACTCACGTGAACAAGCTGAAGTTACGCCTTTTTTCTCTTATTCCAATTGTTTATCTGCATCGCTAAACTAGTGTACACAGTGTGGTTGTTTCCAAATTTCTTTCTTTTCTCTTTTTAAAAGGATTTATTTATTTATTTGAGAGTCAGAGTTACAGAGAGAGAGAGAGAGAGAGAGAGAGAGAAAATCTTCATCTGCTGGCACTTCATCACAGTGCCAGAGATGGGCCTGGCTGAAGCCAAGAGCCACAGCTTTTTCCAGGTCTCCCACATGGGTATTTGGGTCCCAAGCACTTCCCGCTGCTTTTCCCAGGCCACCAGCAGGAAGTTATATTGGAAGTGGAGCAGGTAGGTGGTACAGGAACTGGTGCCCAGTGGGATGCCAGCACTGAGGCAGCAGTTTTTCAGCAATGTCACAACGCCGGCCCCCCAAATTATTTTCTTTATAAACGTCTTCATATAGAATCTCAAACATAAATAAGTGGTGCTTATGAGAATCCAAGCAGTGAACAAAAAGAAAAGTCTTAAGAATTGAGAAGATAAATATAAAACATTTTGAAAGAAATGAAAAGTAAATCAAGCCACAATATTGTGAAAGACAAAGCTACAAAAAATAAATTAATTAATAACAGTAAAAGCTTCACACATCCCAGTTATCATCTCCCTTAAGTGGAATTGAGGAGCATTTGTAGCGAATTGAAATGAACAACTATAAAAGCAAGTATAGGAGGATCCTATTTTGTAGCATCTGTTCTGTCTTGGTACCATATGAGCACTCTATTTGTATAAAGAGGTAATTGGCCAGGCAACAAATGCTAGATTTCTAATATACTTCAATGAGTAGGAAAAGAAAATCCGGACAATGATCCACATTTATTCACCTTCATCAGCAGCATGATGTCTTCTACAACTCATTTCTTTCGACTTCGAAGAGCTACGATGCTTCACCATGACCAATACCACCAAGCAATCTGCAATTTTTTGTAAAGAAAAGGAATTATACTGATTTTACTTTTGCTTATCAGAAATTTAAGATGCTTGAAACAATGGTGGTATTTTTATAGGTTTGACATTTTGCATTGACCTATGTTTCCTACAGTTATTTGTTGTTTGCAAAATTTAACATAGAAACATACACACACACACGTTCTAGGAATACAATATTTGGGTGACAAATAGATTTTTCTAAAAGGTTAATATTCTTTTTCGTCTTTGGAAAGAAAAAATAATTAAAATTAATTCTAGCATTTGCATATATTTTCCTCATTATATTATGGGTTTCCTGTGGGAAAAGGATTATAATTCATTTCTTTTTGTAACTTTATGCACTGTTCAGCATATAATAGTTGCTCACTAGTTGTTAAGTAGAATCAGAGAAAACAAAGTCTTCTTAGAAAAGAAGAATCCTGGGGTCAGCACTGTGGTGCAGTGGGTTAACGCCCAGGCCTGAGGCGCCGACATCCCACATGGGCGTTGGTTGGAGACCCTGCTGCTCTACTTCTGATCCAGCTCTCTGCTATGGCCTGAGAAAACAGTAGATGGCCCAACTCCTTGGCCCCAGGAGCTGTGTGGGAGACCCAGAAGAGGCTCCTGGCTCCTGGCTTCAGATCAGTGCAGTTCCGGCCCTTGCGGCCATTTGGGGAGTGAACCAACGAAGGAAGACCTTTCTCTCTGTCTCTGCCTCTCACTGTCTGCAATTCTAACTCTCAAATAAAATAATTTTTTTTTAAAAAACAGATTTAATTATATTTTTGAAAGTCAAAGTTATAGAGCAAGAAGAGAGGCAGAGAAAGAGATCTTCCATCTGATGGTTCACTCCCCAAATGGCCGCAACAGCTGGAGCTGTGCCGATCCGAAGCCAGGAGCCAGGAGCTTCTTCCTAGTCTCCTACGTGGGTGCAGGGGCCCAAGGACTTGGACCATCTTCAACTGTTTTCCCAGGCCACAGCAGAGAGCTGGATTGGAAGTGGAGCAGCCTGGACTAGAACCAGAGACCACATGGGATGCCGGCCCTGTAGGTGGAGGATTAACCTACTGTGCCATGGTGCCGGCCCCATAAATAAATCTTAAAAAAAAAAAAAAAAAAAAAAAAAAAAAAAAGAAAAGAAGATTTCTTCCATTACACAAACTATAACTGTTGACCTTTCACGTGGTGAACACTGAGACTTTCAGCATCATCCCTTAAAACCTACCTCCTTTTGATTCTCTTATTTTTCATGGCTGCAATGGTCATTCTAAGTTGATGAGCTCCATGTTAATAACACAGCCACGAACTTCAATATTCCTTGGGTGTCCTATGGGGATCTCAATTTAGTATGATTAAAACTGAACCTCTTAATTATTCCATAAGTTATATGTCACTACTGTTTGCTTAATTTATTATCTAATAATTTCTCAACTATTCCTATTCTCTGATCTTCACATTCGAATTCTAATGACTCCACCTACTAATCACCTTTTGAATCCATCTACTTGTTTTCATCACTTATTCTTCTAGCTGGTCTGTTTATTAATATCTCTTGCTTGCTTTTCTTCAACAATATAGCAATACTTCAAGCAAATTTTCTTTTCAACATAAACCCTAAGTTTCTATTACTAATTCCCCACCTGGTACCTCTGGTGATCACATAGATGCTCTGTTGAGCCCTCATTTAAATTCTGGTGACTGAATAGCTGTTTCAAGAGAGAATGTAAAGCTTCCTCCAGGTTACAATTAGCAAACAGTAGAGTAATATGAAGTCTTCTACTGTCCATGATGTGCAGATGTCCAAATTTATGTACTTTTTTTTCTTTATAGTGAGCACTGATTCACAACAAATCATGCCCAGAAGGTAAATAAAAGGATATCAAATGGATCTGAACTAAAGTAATGAGAACTGTTTTGAACTGGTAATTTTCTGTATATCCATTGCCTCTGTTTCTAACACAACTTTCTAAGGTCAAGGCAGATATACAAATAATAATGGAATTTCAGAGATTCAGCGAGTAAATTTTAAAACACTGGAAATAACACTCCCACACCTCAGAATTAATATAAATATTTGAACAATAAACATAAGTGTTTCTGAGAATAAAAGAGCATTAAAACTCAGTGTTTATTGAAATGGAGATAAAAATTAACTCATTAGGAGTAGGCATTAAGCCCAGTGATATACTGTCCAAGTCACACATGAAAGTACCTGGGTTGGATTCCTGGCTTTAGCTCCTTACTCCAGCTTCCTGCTGATGTAGACCCTGGGAGGCAGTGGTGCTGGCTCATGTAATTGGGTTCCTGCCACTCAGATGGGAGATTGATTGTGTTCCTGTCTCTTGGTTCCAGTCTCTGCCCAACCCTGGTCATTGCAGGCATTTGGATTGCAAGCACAAGGGATCTTTTTCTGCCTGTCTGACCACCTCTCTCCATTTCTTTCTGCCTTTCAAATAGATAATTTTAAAAATAAATTTAAATGAACACATTGATAGTGTCTTGAGATACAATATTATATCCTTATCACTATAACACAGATAAAGACTTATCCAGGATCAAAGCAATGTGTAATGTTAAAAGAGGTAGAATCCAAATCAAAGCAATTATAAAACTTTAAAAAGATTACATGTGATATTTCCAGGAGGAATATTACCATTGATTCTACTCTGAATAATTGAAAGATGATATCCTACATACTTGTGACAGAAAGACCTTGTTATAATCTGTTCTTTTGAGATTGCATAATTTGAGATTGCATAATTTGAAATTAGGAGCAAACAGCAAAAAATTCATGGACAGCCAATGTGTCAACATTCTATAGTCTAGGTGAAAACAAGAAAATTGAATTTAAAATATAATTTTTAATTTTAAAAGATTTATTTATTGCTTGAAAGCTTGAGTTACAGACAGAGGGAGCGACAGAGAGATAAAGAGAGATCTTCCATCTGCTGGTTCACTTCCCAGATAGTTGTAATTGTCAGAAATGGACCAGGCTAAATCCAGGAGCCAGGAGATTCTTCCTGGTCTCCCTTGTGGCTATCAGGGGCCTAAGCATTGACCCATCTTCCATTGCTTTTCCCAGCCCATTAGCAGGGAGCTAGATCAGAAGTGGGACAGCTGGAGGAACACAAACCGGTGCCCGCATGGGATGCCAGTATTGCAATGGCTTTACTTGCAATGCCACAACATTGGCTACTGAAAATATATTTTCTTAAAGCTTATGTATATTTGTTTTTTGAAAATCAGAGACACAATGAGAGAGAGAGAGAGAGAGAGAGAGAGGCACTTTCCACATTCCCACTATAGCCAGTTCTAGACCATGTGAAACCCAGGAGCCAGGAACTCCATCAAGTCTCCCATGTGAGTGGCAGGACCCAAGCACCTGAACCATCACTTGCTGCCTTTTAGGGTGTGCAGTAGCAGGAAACTGGACTGGAAGCAGAGGCAGAGCTCAATTTCAGGCACTGGACATGGGGTAGAGTTGTCCCAAGTGGTTGCTTAACTTGCTGCACCACAATGCTCACCTCCAAAACACAATTGATAAATACCTGGATAAAACCCAATTTGAGGATTTCTCTTGATTCTTCCAAGGAGAACAAATCTCATCTGATTGAATTGTACCCCCCTTTTCCTTTAGTAGTTATACCTTTTCTAAGTCTGTATAATGGCACAGAAACACACACGCAGACGCACACACACACAGTACAGAGCCCTCATTTCACCCCAGATAATAGAAACAATCTGTAAGAATCTGACTTAAGATTTTCTGTGGGCATCATGACAGCAGGAAATGAGCTGTCTCAAGCTAAGTTTTGACTCTGTACTTCCCTAAGCTTTTATAAGCTATATGTTTTTCCTTGCTTTTCAAAAGATCCTGCTAACCACAGATTTAAATTTTTTTATTCATTTATTTGACAGGCAGAGATATAGACAGAGAGAGAGAAAGAGGGAGAGAGAGAGAGAGAGAGAGAGAGGTCTTCCTTCTGTTGATTCACTCCCCAAAAGGCTGCCACGGCCAGTGCTGTGCTGATCCGAAACCAGGAGCCAGGTACTTCCTCCTGGTCTCCCATGCGGGTGCAGGAGCCCAAGCACCTGGGTCCTCCTCCACTGCCTTCCCGGGTCACAGCAGAGAGCTGGACTGGAAGAGGAGCAACCCAGACTAGAACCTAGCTCCCATATGAGATGCCTGCGCTGCAGGTGGAGGATTAACTAAATGAACCACGGCGCCAGCCCTACGACAGATTTTAAATTCCAGACATGATCATGAAATTCGACACTTAAAAATAAACGGTGAAGATTATTATAAAGAAAGGTAAATGGTTCAGTTTTATGCATTTATTCACTTGTTTCATGTAATGTGGGACCTTTCGCTACTGGAGTTCTATAAGTCAAATATATTATGCAAATATGGTTAAGGGGAAGACAACATCTCAAAATAATCAATGATCTACAATAGAAAAATACTACAAATTGTTCAGCACTGATCATTTCTAAAGCTATTACTATGCATGCTAGTTTAATTTAATTTGGATAAATACAGCATTTTTTATAAGATTTTAAAATTTTTCCAATACCAGTTTTTGTAGAAAGTGTTTCCAGAGAATTTTCTTTTTTTTTTTTTTCTTTAAAGATCTTACTTATTTATTTGAGAGGTAGAGTTACAGTGAGAGGGAGAGACAGAGAGAAAGGTGTTCCACCGGTTGGTTCACTCTCCAAATGGCTGCAATGGCCAGAGCTGTGCTGATCCGAAGCCAGGAGGCAGGTGCTTCTTCCCGGTCTCCCATGTGGGTGCAGGGGCCCAAGGATTTGGGCCATCCTCTACTGCTTTCCCAGGCCACAGCAGAGAGCTCGATTGGAAGTAGAGCAGCTGGGACTAGAACTGGCGCCCATATGGGATGCTGGCGCTACAGGAGGAGGATTAAGCTACTGTGCCACGGTGCTGGCCCTGAGAATTTTCTGTTTAATCTAGTTTCACAACTTCATTTCATACATTTATTTAAAATAC